CATAAGTATAATTCAGTAAAAACAACTAGAATTATCAAAGTCGAACCTAAATCAACATACCAAGTTAGCCACCCGGTGGAATACGTAAAAACACCACAGCAAAGAAAAACCCGACTGAATAACTTGACCAGAATGTAATTCAATTATCATAAGTATGATTCAGTAAAAACAACTAGAATTATTAAAGTCAAACCTAAATTAACATACCAAATTAGCCACCCGGTAAAACATGTAAAAACACTATAAAAAGAAAGACCCAACTGAATAACTCGACAGGAATGTAATTCGACTATTATAAGTATGATTCAGTAAACACGACTAGAATTATCAAAGTCGAACCTAAATCAACATACCAAGTTAACCACTTGGTAAAACAAGTAAAAACACTATAGAAAGAAAAACCAGACTAAATAACTTGATCAGAATGTATTTGATTATCATAAGTATAATTCAGTAAACACGACTAGAATTATTTAAGTTGAACCTAAATCAACATACCAAGTTAGCCACCTGGTGGAATATATAAAAGCACTATAGAAAAAAAGACCTGACTGAATAACTCGACTGGAATGTAATTCGATTATCATAAGTATGATTCAGTAAACACAACTGAATTATCAAAGTCGAACCTAAATCAACATACTAAGTTAGCCACCTGGTGGAATATGTAAAAACACCACAGCAAAAAAATACCCGACTGAATAACTCGACCAGAATGTAATTCAATTATCATAAAAATGATTCAGTAAACACAACTAGAATAATCAAAGTCGAATCTAAATCAATATACCAAGTTAGCCACCCGGTGAAATACGTAAAAACACCACAGCAAAAAAAGACCCAACTGAATAATTTGACCGGTGAACTCATCCAGGTTATTTTGGTACGTCGAATTAGGATAATCAAATCGAACCTAATTCAATATACCAAAATGATCCAGATGAAATAAGCAAATTTGACTGGAATAACCAAATTGAACTTAATTCAACATGCCAAGTGACACATCTTGCATAATCAAATTGAACCATACCAAAAGCTTGTTTTATACAAGAAAATTGAAGTAGAATTCAATCTTACAGATCGAGCCTCCTTATTTATTTACTTTCTTACATCATTGGTTTATTAAAATAGACTTATCACAATTATATACCCTTATTTCTTATCATTATTAAGTTCTATCCACCCCTGCGCAACTTCGGTGTTAAGTAATATGTGTAACCAATTATATTCCAACACTAGAATAAGCAAGTTGAATCTACCAAAACAACCCAGCTAGAATAATCAAATTGAACCCAATTTAATATTCCAAAGTAACCTGATTGAATAAATCTACAAATTGATCTGGCTGAAATAATAGCGCGGCTAAAAAAGTTGAACCTAATAAATTAAAATTGGTAATTAAAAATTAAAATTGATTACTTAAAAAAATTAAAATCAATTTAAAAAAAATTAAAATTGATTATTAAAAAAAAATCAAAAAATAAATATTGATTTAAAAAAACCCCAAATTAAATTAATAATAAGTAAGAAATCTAACATATAAAGACTTCCTTGCTTTGCATAATTATCAATACAGCCAGTTAAAACAAATAAATCAAATCTAATTCAATATACCTAACTAGATTAATCTAATTCAACTTACCAAAAAACTGGTTAGAACAATCAAAACCCTGCTAGAATAGCATATTAAATCTAATTTAATATACTAAAGCAACTGGCTAAAGCAATTTACTTAAAATTACTAAAGTAGCCCAGCAAGAATAAATTAAAACACCTCAACATACCAGTGATCCGGTTGAAATAAGTTATTTCAATCTTCTGATTCAAGAACGTTACTATCAAGATTTAATGTTGCTAAAAAGGTTTTCTTCTTCTGATCCAAGAATATTACTACCAAGATTTATCAGATCCAAGACTATTATTGAGATCTAACATTATTAAGGAGTTTTTGCAAAGTGCAAGCTAATGCTTTTCCTTCTTCGGATCCAAGATTAATACCATTAAGATTCAAATCTTTTAGTGTGGTATTCTTACAAAGTGTCTTTGTTAGTTTGTTTATATAGCTATAATATAAATTCTAGACTTAGCTAAAATAAGCAAGTTAAATCTAATTCAATATGCTGAAGTAGCCTGTCTAAAATAAGGATCAAAGTGAAGAAGTTAACCTTATCGTTATCGCTATTTGTGCTTAAAAAAAAAAAATTTTTTTTTGATAATTCCCAGATTGGCCGGATTTAATCTGAATCCGGGGATTGGATCAATTTCGGTTCGATCCTGGATCAATCCATAATTTTTGATCTAGTTCGGAGCACTAGTTTGAACAACCATCTTTTTTTTACCACCTAGTTTACCCAACATACATAGTTTAGAATCATCAACTTCGAATTCAACTAGTTCAAGATTGTCAGCTTCAAATTCAAGCTCTTTATTATCAGTTGAAATATCTACTATCGCCCCTAATACACCAGCTTAACACAAATCTTTAATATTAATTTAAGAAGCTGAAGCTAAAATAACTAAATATAAATATCTAATGGCAAATGCCAGTGATAAAGACCTTCGATGTCAGATATATGAAAAATTAAAAGAAATACGTGCTGTTATTGAAAAAGAAAGAAAGAACATTAGTTTACTTAAACGTCATGCTGCAACTCAAGAAAAGTATCAAGAAAAAAAACAAAGGCAACTTGAAGAAGAGGGTATTGTTGAAATGTTTAATACAAGAGGATGTCCGAATTACTTGATCAAATATATGAATGTATTGAATTCGTTGTAGCAGACAAAAAAAGAAAAAAAACAACAATTAAAGTTCATACTATAAAACATTTAAAAGAAGCTTTGCAAAAAAAATATAATATTTATATTACCCATCAAACACTTTCAACATACCTTTTACCTCGGCATCCCAATACACATAATGCACTTTGTCACCATTATCCAGTAAATATCAAAATAGCAGCAGTATCCCAGTCTGAGATGAACTTTCATATTGACAGACAATATTGTTTTGCATTTGTTAAAATGGTTAGAAAATTTGCTTTAACCTTTGCCAATCATAGCATTATTATCTCTCAAGATGATAAAGCTAAAATTGGCCTTGGTATATCAGCAGTTAGAACTTTTTGAAGCCTTCAATCTTTCAATGAACCTGTTACTGTTTCTGATCATGACTTCTCTTATAGAGCAAAACAAAAGCTTGTACCTTTAGTTTATCTTATTATTAATCCTGAAGACTCAAATAAATCACTATAGCAAGATCAGTTATCTATTTATATTAGACCAGAATATTTTGTTGGAATGTCTTCAATGTCACATATGAGAAATTTAATTGATATTACAAAGAACAATAACTATACACAGATATTTAAGTGTGAGAAGTACTTTAAATCTATATAGATCTTATTAGTTGATGAAGAGCCTGATGAAAATCCCAGGCATTTAAAAAATATTATTGAATAATATTATTTTTTCTGTGAGCTTGATTTTGATTATCTTTTAGTTCATACATATGCTCCTTCACAATCTGCTTATAACCTAGTAGAACGTAGCATGTGTACTCTTTCTGAAAAACTTGCCAGAATTGAGTTGCCAGTTGATAAGTTTGGGTCATATTTTAATAGTTAGGGTGTAGTTATAGATAAATATTTAGCAAAACGTAACTTCAAATTTGCTAGTCAGTGCTTGTGTAAAATCTGGAGACATGATAATATTAATAGAAAACAAGTTTATGTAAATTATATTGATTATAATGAAGATCTATTCCAAAACAACAAAAAAGATTCTATTACCTGGTTATGGATCAAACATCAGTCATTATTCTTTTAACATGCAAAAATGTTCTAATCAAAGTTGTTGTGGTGAAGTTCATGCAAAGGAAGCAATCAACCTATTAAAAGAAAATAATAGATTTCTTTCACAACTTACAAAAGGAAAAAATGGTTATTATCTAAATCCAATTCATATTTTAGAATATATGGACAAGGTAAAATTGCCCAAATATAATGAAGTTTGTCCTTCATTATTAGCACAAATGCATTAAAGGCTTTGTTGCAATATATGTGACAAATATTTTTCTATGATAAAGATAATTACTAACCATAAAAAAGAATTTCATTCTAAAAAAAACTGCAAACAAATTACAGATCAAGCTGTTATATATAGTCTTGATTTTTCTATTGAATTTGTTGAAAACATATTACCCACCTGTTCATCACAGCCATATTTCTCTACAAATGAAGTTGCTTTATCATTAGATTGTATTAATACACAGCAAATTCAACTAAGTAATACAGCTTTTGTAGAGGACTTTTCTAATCTACCCTCTACTAATTCACTCTATCTATCAGAAGTTTATAATTCACGAGATACACTTTCTGATACTGAATAAAAATTTTGAAGTAGTATAAATTAAACTTTATAACATTTTTTTTTAGTACAAATTTTAAAAAATTACTCATTGTAAAATTGATTTTTAAAGAATAAAATAAAGATTATGCTATGGTAAAAAGAGATTCAAGGGGATTCAATAAAGCAAAGTAAGAGTTTCATGTTTGTTTAACCATTTTCAATATTCATAGATAAGTTAAGTTAAGCGAGCCTTCCAAAAAAGTATTGTAAAATAATATAAGAAAAATTTTAATCAATTGTATAATGATTTTGTAACGTACAACGTCCTATAGTATAAGTTGATATTTGATTGTCAAAGCATTTAATACAATACTATTTTTTGATTGATCAATCTAGTCTAATATAGAAGGTGTGGCGGCTTAGTAAAGTGGTCAAGTTGTCACTCTCTCCAAGTAGCAGGTCTAGGGTTCAAATCCCACGGACGACAAAAGTTTGAAAAATAGGCTTGCGTTAGGTAACGGATCTTCATTAAGTTGGGGCTTAGATTAACCTGTAACTTCGAGTCACACCAATGCTCTGTATTGGAAAGTTGTCACTGTCGGGC